GTTATTGAGCGGTGTAACACTTAGTAAAAGTTACACCGATGTCGTTTGAACCCTCCTATATATATATATTTTGTGTTGGCCATTTTAATGCCGACTTTATTAGGTTAGAATAATATGTTCACATGTATAAAAATAATTTGGATAGATTAGCTAAATCATCAATAAACGATTATGGAAATTAACAACGGAATGGAACAGTTAAAAAATAAGAAAAGATATATGATTAAATATTTATTGTACTGACTTAGTCGAGTTGTGAACTTGTCCCTTACCAAGTTGTCAGACTCGGTCATAGGTTTATCAACCTGACCAAGTAGTGAACTCATTATTGCCGAGCTACTACATTCGGCCACGAAACATAGACATCGGAAAATCACATGGCCCAAAGAGGCCATGTCATCAGAAAGAAAAAAAATACAATCTCGTCACCACGTCACAATCACAAGGTAAAACCCTGAGATTGTCAATGTGTAGGTAGACAGTAAAAATTATAAAATCATCAAGGTACGTTTGTGTTTGTGGTAGAATTCGTTTGTGAGTTCTTTTTATTTAAACTAGCACGAAATAGTTTTAATTTAGGTATTTTATAATTAAACTTTCTTAAGAATGGAGATAGACGAGACAGAGTGACTAATAAACGTTTGTTTCCAGATTTTCATTAATGATTATCAAGCAATAATTATCATGCATGTAAACACTTAAATAAACAGAATGAACAATACATATATTGGTAATACAAATCATTGTCCACTTCGCGTACTTATCAGGTTACACTATCAGAATTAAACGAACTACAAACTACGAAATTTAAACGAAACTACACTAATCCTAGGAAAAGAAAGAGAATGTGGCCAAGAAGTTGTCATATTCAGCAATTCCATGCACGAAAGCCATATGCGCAGGCCGTGAGTGCTTGAAAGTGCAAGTATGATTTTTCCGACCCCTATGAAGTAACATGCTTCTCATATTTATAGAACCAATCGAGAGCGGTTAACGCTGCACGGGTTCGTAATGGGCGCATAACCGCTGTCCACTATGCTAATTGCTTGACTTGAATGTAACTTCTCATAACCGCTCATTCCACGTATTCTTTATTGCTTCGATTTGCTGGTTTTGTAACTGCCTTGGTGTAACTGCCCCCAAACTGTTTAGGTGACCCCTTAACTATCTTTCATGTTAAACTCCTCGACCTATCCTCGAACACTTAAATTTCTTTTGGATTAGCTTGTTCTGTCCAGATAGTACTTGCACATTTGATTCCCTTTTTCGAGTAAGTATCGAGAAGATTTGTTCGATTAGGCCTAACAATTTGTTATATATACGAGACATCTACACTATCAAGTACTAACTTAAGCATTAGAGTCTCTTTTGCAAGTATCACCCTCATCTTGGAGCGACCAACCTGCGAACCAGTGGAAGCTCACCAATCTCATCAGAAAGATCGTCACCAATCCAATATCAGGTGAGAACATTTATAAAATATGTATACAGGAGACTCACTTAATCTATGAAGTCCCTTTTGTAAATACGCAATCTCTCCTTATAAAACTTTAAAGGATAAATAAATTCATACATATATTAAAAGATTGGAGATCCGAACGTGAAAATAGGAGATCAACAACAGGTCGGAGTAATTCTAATTTTTGATAATAACATTTAAAAGATTGGAGATCCGAACGTGAAAATAGGAGATCAACAATAGGTCGGAGTAATTCTAATTTTTGATAATAACATTTTGCCAAAATGTTCCTAGCAAAAGTTAGAGATGCTCCTTCAAGGCTATTACGACCACTTGGTTCCACACTCTAACATGTCCACCATACCCTACCATGTCCATTGTACCTAGGTCTTTTCTTCCCTTTATTCCCTTCTAATGATGGAGTTTTCTTCTTCCTCTTTTTGGGAGAATGAGGTGGAACAGGCATAGCAAATACGAAAGCAATTACCTTATGAGGAAGTTCTAAATGAGGGACAGGAAAAATAGAATGAACATGGGGTTCATTAAGTGGAAGAGAATAATTAATTACCATATTCTTTTTTATCACTTGATTTTCATTATAATCCATAACTTTTCAAAAGAATCCAAAGAATATGATGAAAATGATTTATTAGAAATGGTTTCAGAAGAAGATTCATCCTCCTCACCTACTTCAACAGTCTAACGTAAAACTAAAGGTTGGGGATTTGATTCATGAGAATTAGAGGCCTCATGATAATTAAAATTGGAAGCTAACTAACACAAAGAATATGAAAATGAGAGGCACCTAAAAATGATGAAATTTATGAAAATATTCCCCAATCTTTTAGAGAGCTTAAACAAAAAGGAATAAAAACATCTTAGAAATATGATACAAATAATGATAAAGGAAAAAAGAAACAGTAATAGATTATATAGCAAATGGAGAGAAGTAAAAGAAAATGAAAAGTTATGGCATGCAAGAACAGTAATATTCCTTGAATGTGAAAAGACAAGATATCAGCGTGAAGTCCTATTATCAGTGTAAAGTGTAAACCTAAAATAAGATATAGTGTGAAGTCGAAATATCTCTAACTTTTGGTAAAAACATATATAAGTTGAATTACTTAAAAGGTAAAGCGGGAGATTTTACTGTCATTTACTAATTTAGAAAAGAGTAAACGATAAAAAAAAATTATTGTTTAAAGTATAAAAAACAAAAGATGCAACGACTTTTGTATATAGTTTATAAAAAATGTTTAACTAAGTTAGTTAACCTTTGTGCGAGAATTGCTCTATCTCTTTAATAGTATTGAATTTAATTCCTACTGCAAACCGTGTTAAAAGAGAGGATTGTCTGCGAAAATGTGAACATAGATAATGCATTATTGTCGTTAACTAGTTTGATTCTTATTGCAGATCCTCTTAAAGAGAAGGGTGCCTTTGAAAATGTAAACATAAAAGGTGCATGACATGATTATCGTCAACTAGTGCGGTAAGGTGTATGGATAAAAAAGAAAAAAACTGTTATGTTGTTTTAATTTTTTTCATCAACTTAATTAATTTTCAAAAAATATTTTTTGTTGAAACAGAAATATCAACAAAGTGAACTTTACATGTTATAGTAAAACTAAAAGCTAATAATATAGTTAAAGAATTTAACAATTTACCGATCATAACCAACATTTTTTTTTATTGTGTTGATTACTGTTTTAACCAGCTGTCACACAATTGCAGCCCTTAATTATGCATTAAATATTAAATCCTTAAAAGTTTACAGTGACAGTGAATGGTTGGAAATTACAGTTGAGCACAAGAACTGGCTGTCTTGCATAATCACAATCTGTATTGGACAGTGTCTATAATGGATATGTCACGCTAATCCTTGCTGAAAGACATAGGACAACAGATTTATAGATGCATATATTACTGGAAGATTGTGGGGGAGTATTCTCAATTGTATTTTGTTACCTCGAAAAATATATGCAAGATTTTAAGTTTTAACTCTCTGAAACTCCCTCTATTTTTTTTTTTTTAATAGTAGTTTTGATACTATTTTTTTTTATTATCATTTTTTTTAAATTGATGAGTTATTAATTTTTTTTATCTTTTTTATTTTTATCTTTAATAATTAATGTATGTTTATTGAATAATGTGTTTATTTATTTTTAATATATTTATTTTTTCTTAACCATCTAAAAGATATAATAATAAAATAGATAATAAATACTTTAAAAAATTAAAATATTAATCATTTTCTTAATTCTTGTACATAATCTTATAAAAAAAATAGAGGGAGTACAAGTTTTCTAGTTCTATATTAGAAAACTTTTCAATGTGGCTCGCACATACCTGTTCCTGTCCACCTTGTTTTTTCATTGAGCCACCAAAGCGAATCATAAAGGGCCAAGCCCAATGATATTTGTCAAACCTAGAGGCTATGTGGGCTTATGATATATACACCTCCTTTCTTTTATAAGTACACTTCCTTTATTTTTTTTTAAAATTATTAAATATTGTAAACATTTTTTTAATTTTTTAATTTTACACCTCCAACTTTTAATTTGTTATTTTTTTCTTCTTTTTCACATACTTTTTTTCTCTTTTTTAGTTTTTACATGCTACCAAAATAAGTGTAGTGAAAGAAAGGTAAGGGAGTGCATGTAAAAATTGAAAAAAGGAGGAAAGATAAAAAAAAAAAAAAAAAAAAGGAGGTGCATATATATGAACCGGCTATGTATGTGATGATCCATTCAAGTTAGACCAGCCCATTTACTGCTGCTGGTTGAGTTTGATGTGTGGGCCAACTCGTAGCTCATCAAATATTATTTGGGTTTGTTATTTGTTAATCTATTTTTTATCAATAGAAAATAATTAAAACTTCAAATCTTGTACATCTCTTATAAAAACCTTATGTTAATGGCTAATATAATTTGCCTAACGCGCAAGTTCTTGCAAACTATTTGAAACGTCTTTATTGTTTACTTAATTTTGTGTATACTTATTATGACATATAATATCATACACTGAATTTATAAATATTCATCTTTAGAGTGATTTGTACTTTATTTTGATTAGGAATGAAATGGAGAGGAAGGAAATAAAAAGAAAAGGTAGAAAAAAAATAGAATAATAAATATATTTTTGGATGAATAAAAATAATAAAAATTGTGTGAAAATTTTATTTTCACTTGTCTATAATCTATAATCTATAATCTATAATAATAAATTTATCTTAAATTAAAAAAAATAAAAAAATATTTAATTATGTAGTGATTATTTGGAAGGGTATAGTTGATGGTGAAGAAAAGCGCGGTGTTAGTTTTGGTTTTGCGTTCATGGAAAGTGGTTTTTGATTGAAGTGACATTGGCAAAGGTGGGGTTTAAAGAGATTACACGCGTCCGTTCCATTTTGAAAAAGAGATTTGGTGGAAGGAGCGGATAAGTCGAGAAGTTTCGAGAAGTTTTAGAAAATATCTGGGCCACAGGCGAGTGCCATATGTCAGAACCTTCTCCCTTAAAAAAATCTTGAACCCTCTCTCTAGAGTCTAGAACCTTCCCCTCCCCCTTCCTTAAATTGCTTATTATTTCCCTAACCCTCAAGTAATCACTACACACTACACACCATTTTTAGAACTACACAGCTCAACCCAACTTCAAAAGAGAAATGAAGGGAGTCACGGTGAAAGAAGAAGAAACAATGGCCTACGCACCTTCTGCTTCCTCTTCATCCACACCTTCAAACCTCTCTCCGCAACCCATGGAAGGCTTGCACGAGGTTGGTCCCCCTCCGTTTCTCACCAAAACCTTCGACGTCGTTGAAGACCCATCCACCGACGACGTCGTTTCATGGAGCAGAGCGCGCAACAGTTTCGTCGTTTGGGACTCTCACAGGTTCTCCACCACCATCCTCCCTCGCTACTTCAAGCACAACAATTTCTCCAGCTTCGTCCGACAACTCAACACCTACGTAAGCATTTACCCTAACCTAACCTCCTTTAGATTATTCTAGGTTTAGTTATTTTACCTACTAGAACGAATTGTTTTTTTTTAAATGATGTCATGCAACTAAAATGATGTTTTTTTTAATTATAAGGATTAATAAGATAAAACCATTATTCTAATTTGGGAAATGGTACTAACATTGGTGCAGGGTTTTAGGAAAGTTGATCCGGATAAATGGGAATTTGCGAACGAAGGGTTTCTGGCGGGGCAGAGGCACTTGTTGAAGACGATCAAGAGGAGGAGGCACGTGACACAGACGCAGTCACGTGAGGGAGGGGGTGGGGCTTGTGTTGAATTGGGGGAGTTTGGGTTGGAAGGTGAGATTGATAGGTTGAGGAGAGACAGGACAGTGTTGATGGCTGAAATTGTGAGGTTGAGACAGCTACAGCATAACTCAAGGGAGCAATTGTTGGGCATGGAGACTAGGTTGCAAGCCACTGAGAAGAAGCATCAACAGATGATGACTTTTCTAGCTAAAGCACTCAACAATCAGGCTTTCATTCAGCAGTTTCTTCACAGGAATGCACAGAGCATTGAGTTGCAGGGTGCGAGAAGGAAGAGGAGACTAACTAATTCCCCCAGTGTGGAGAATTTGCAGGAAGATCCTGTAATAATTGAAGAAGGGTCGGCTACTATTGAGTCGCAGATGGAGTCTTTTTTCTCTGCTGCTTGTGATGATGAATCCAGCACTGAAATAAAGGATTCAATGTTGAGTACAGTTCCAACTGCAGGTGGGAGCAATTTCGGGGAGGTGAGTGATGCTATTTGGGAGGACTTGCTGAACCAGGATTTGGTTGCCGGGGATCCCGAGGATGAAGTTGTGATGGATGACTTTTCACAAATTGATGTGCCTGTGGAGGATTTGGTAACCAAGACTGATGATGAATGGAATGAGGATTTGCAGAACCTTGTGGATCATATGGGTTATCTTGGGTCCAAACCCTAGTGGACGTGAGGAATTCTTGTTATTATTATCTGGGGGCTCAGATGAACTTCCCCCTTTGCACTATTGTGGTATGACTTCATTGTTTTAGTTGTTGATATTTGTGGTTTGATAATTTGTATAATTGTAATTGATGTAGAATATGAATGATTTTATATGCAGCTGGGAAGGTGGTGGTTGTTGCAGAAGAGGCCAGCTGATATTGCTCTTTATCTGTATCCTTTGTAAAAAGACATGTTTTGTGAATAGCTGAGTATTCTTGTGCCAATGATGATAATGCTATTTTTACTCTGTTGCCTTGTTAATAACTACATTATACGTTTTTGCAGGCCAGATTAAAAGGCGATGATCAAGGGGGTGAATGGGTGATTGACTGAGAAAAGAATTAGTATTATTCTATCGATGATCTGCTAGATTGTCAAATTTTCAGTGTTGAGGGTGAAGTGATAAGAATAATATCATTTGGCTCCTGTACAGTGCCCGTTTCCTTAGTAATACGTCATTGACAATTCTTTGCGTATCTGTCATCACATCTGGTTCATTATAAATTTAATACAAGAGATAAGCATTTGTCTTCATGTTTAGACTTTTGTTCTGATAAATTCCTTTTGTAACAATGATCTGTTGCTCTGCATATGTAATTTAAAATCACTCATCTGCTGTATTTGGCTGAGATTATGTAAGTTTTAGTTCTTCATATTTATGTTGAGCTTGTATTTTTGTGGTTAAGATTTTGTTAATGTTGTGTGGTTGATATGTTGCAATTATCCCGTTAAGATTAATGGTTTAATTAATTATTCGGTTATTATAAGTCTTATATTAATTTATAAATTGGTCTTCATAAAAAGATGCTAGTTTTAATTTATGAATCGGTCTTATATTTATAATAAAGGATTAATTAGCTTTTGGTCTCCATCTTTATTAGCTTATAATACTTTTTAACATTTTTCTAAATATTTATTATTGTTTTTCTTGTTATTTTCTGAATTGTCTATTTTACTTTTTATTTTATTTTAAAAAAATGAACCGAGACATAGAGCGTCTCTTCCCACTAATTAATACAGAATGGGTTTTGTGGTTGGATGTCCTCTAAGCAATTAGTAGGGACACATCAACCCTTAGTGTTGTATGTTTTACCAAGCGCTGTGATAAGTAGGTTGTGTTTTCCTACACCTTTATTTCGGAGCATCCAATTCTTTTAATTTCTAAGTCTGTCCTAAGCCCCTATAAATAGAATACACATTTTACGATTCTACATTTCAGGAAGTTTCTTCTAATTTTGCTAAATAAATATATGATAATTTTAATTGAATTTTGGTTTTAGTAGTTACTACTCCTTTCTTGTTACTAGCAAGGACACCGAGCCATTGTCAGGCTTGATTTTGTGTAATTTAGTGCGCTAACAATTTAAATTGTTTGATCTTGTTCAGATGAATAAACAAGCTAAAGATTTATTGAATGTCAATTTAAGAAATTAAAAGAACAGATAATTAGTATTGTTAGAGATATATTTGGGAGGTTATACAATTCATGTGTCCTTACAATTTTTTAAAATTACCCTTTTAACTTACACAAGTAACTATTATTCAATTATTATTGTGATCACAACAATTATTGTTATAATCTTAGATTGTGAGCGGTAAGATGCTTAACATAGCATAAGATACATTAAACTTAAAGGAAAAGAATTGCTGGACCAAATGCTAGTAACTAAAAGAAATAAAGAAAGAATATAATGATTATAATAATACTACTAATAATAATAAGTGGTATAATATTATAGAAAAATAGTGATTTATTTAATATATAGTGATGTCTATATGTCATTACTGAAAACTAGACCAACAAATTGTTCCTTCTTATACATCATTCTTGAATGGATACTATATAAACTTACCCTTAGGATGTCACGTTACATTAACGGTTTGACTACGAAACATGATTTAAAGCAAGATTTGGAACACTAAATTAATGAATTTTCAACTTAGCTTTTTTGGTATGAGGATTTATACCTCAGTAGGTTCTGTGTGCAGAGGTATTGGAGTCGTCTTCAATCTAAATTCTGCAGTACAATATATGTTGGTTTTAATTTTTCTAAAAAAAACCCTATAGTAGGTTCTTTTAAGTTTATTACAAAGATGAAAAACATATTAAATAAGAAATTAATTTTATATGTAGTCTTCTGTATGTTTCTTTCTCCGTCCCTTTATTTATAGTTTTTTTTAATTGGGATGTTTAATTTAACAATAAAGCCTCTACTTGATTTCAATCCCTACCTTTCTTATATGTTAACCCCAAAACGAGTTTGTGAACTCGACCACGGTGGGCTTCATCAAAACCAAATTATAAGCTGAAATGTAATTTTATTATTTTTTGTTTATTCGATTGGATTGGAAAGATTTTTACAGATAAGGTAATTAAAATAAAATAAATATAACTTGAAAGTTAACTCCCAAGTGTACTTGAATTTGATATGAAAAAACTAGTTGGGCTTAAGCATGACAAAACCATAGTTGTGGATTTTGGGTTATGTGGCTTAGCATTTGCCCATGGAGGAGCGGCTCATCCAAAACAAAACTCCCCTACCCAGCCCAGCCCGCCCGCTTACTTTCGGATAATGTTAAATACTTTTCTGTATTTTTTACTATTATAATAATTGTGATAAAAAGAACACGTCCATTATTAATCACTATGAATTATATACACCAAAAAAAAAAACTATGAATTATGATAATAATTCATTTCACCCTGTTCTATTTTCCTTCTTTTTAGTTTTTAAGGACGATGGAATATATTTATTTTTATTGATGCTTAACCTTTATTTATAAAATTATATAAAAAATAATATCATATGATAAACTAATTATCTAAAAAAATGTTTAATAAAAATATGTGAATAATTTTAAACTCAAGATTTACATATTTGCGATATATTTTTTTGTTAAATGTGAAGTTTGTCATTCTTAGTTATGTAAAGTTAGTTTGGATAATTTTTTTTAAGCAAATACTCAGAAAAAAAATGCAAATAAATCTTTTTTTTTTGTACAAGTTAAAATTAACTTACTTTATTATTTGACGAATCATAAGCCGCGAATTATACAGGATGTCTTTTAAATCATAACATATATAATATAACTCAACTTGCAAAAATACCAAGTTGACCTAGGTTTTTTTTTTTTTTTTTTCATATGAAGGGGTCATGCCCCAACTAAAACCCACAGTGAGTCAGTTGACCTATTTATAATTGAATATATTTTGTGACATCTGCCTAAAAATATGATAAATATGAATCAGCTAGCTATTAAATAAGAGTATAGGCAAATGGATTTTATAGGTTAAATTTGAATTTTTTATAATTTATCGTGGCCATATTTAATTAAAAATAAGTACTTGATTTTTAACTTACAAGAAGTTTTTATAAGGGCGTATTTTTTTTTTATCCGTATAAGTGTGTATTAGAAGCATATCAGGTGGAAGATGATGAGAGTGGGAAAGAAATTAATCTAAATTATATAATTTAAATAAATAGTTAAAATTTACATCCGAAAATCGATCATTCAATTTAAATTTGGTTTCATTTTATAGGAATCAATTTTCATTGAAATCGATTCTTAACTTAAGCCTTAATTAGCTTGAGAATGAGTTTTATTTTATCAAAAATATATTTCTTATCTTAAAAAATATCTTTTAACTTTCTGATGTTATATTTTTAAGTTAGACTTAACTAGATTTTGACTTGATATTTTAACTTTCTCATGTTAGCCTTAATTAGTAAGTCTTACAAGATTGTCTAAGAGTTGATATTTAATTTTCACAAACACAATTTTGACTTTATTCTTTTTTATTATTGTTCCGGTCTCTATGAATTCTTCTGTTTGACTTTGCATTTTTTTTTCTTCGACTTTTGGTTTATTTTCCATAATATTAAGTCGACATTTAACTTTGCCGTGATTGAAATTATGTGTAAATCACATAGTCATATCTGATAACATGAAATTTGAAATGCAATGTGAAAATATCATACATAATAAAAGCATGCAAAAACTCAATACTATATAGTTTCATTATGTATCTTAAATAATATACATAGTTTATAATATTATGTATGGGTACGTTTATATTTGATTCGTTCGATGGAATAATAAAAGAATAGATGCTATATGTTTGTTTTTTCTATCAGAAAAAAAAAAATATATATATATATATATGAAAAAGGATTCAAACGATGACTAATAAATGTATTTCTCTTTCAATTTTTTTAGAGGAAGGTTCAACGACACCGGTATAACTTTTACTAAGTATTACACTGTTCAATAACTTTATATTAAATGTGAATTTTGAAAATTCAACCGTTAGATTGAAAGTTCATATCTTTTAGATCATATATGTCAAATTTTGTTAAAATTGAACAACAACTTGAAGGTATTCAAAGTGTTCATATTTTAGTATATTTTGAAATGTATATATTACGTCAATTTTGTTTTATAAGAATGAAGTATCAAATAATCTTAAATTAATATAAAATTTGATATATATGATCTAAGAGATATGAACTTTCAATCTAACAGTTGAATTTTTAAAATTCACATTTAATATAAAGTTATTGAGCAGTGTAACATTTAGTAAAAATTACACCGATTTCGTTACAAAATCCTTTTATACAAATCTTCTTATTTATCGAAAAAAAAAACTATCAACAAAATTTAGTACAATTAATACGTAATTGAGTTTTTTTTTAATATGCTGACACGGGTATATTTCTTTATATAAGACAAAGACTATCGTTTCTACAGAAATGACAAAAAAAAAGGTTAATTTCACTTTTATTTTTTAATACTTTTAAAATTCAATTTTAGTCTCCTTAATTATTTGTTTTTGCATGATCTTTATCTCCTACTATTTTAATTTAACATTTAATATCTACTAAAATGCCACCAATGCATTATCATGTCAATATTTTTATGAACATTCCTACAACCTCGAAAGTCAAAATTTCATCCGAATTATTAAAAAAATTATTATTTTTTAATAAATTTACTATAAAATAATTATTTTATAATAAATTTATTAAAAAATAATAATTTTTTAATGATTCGGACGATATTTCAGATTTCGCTTTCGGAGGATTAAGCATTTTCCTATTTTTATTAATACTATTAGACATCAAATCAATAAAACGACTAAAGTTCTACGGTTAAAATAATAGAAAGACTAAATTTGGAGGAGGATTAAAATCAAAAGTTAATAATAATATATTAAAAGAGTAATTAAGCTAGAATAATATTTATAATAGTTTATTTTCGGGAGTTAATATTTGAAGACTCACAGATTACAAACATTCCATAAACACGTCTTTTTCAAGAAGTAAATATTATTTTTCTTTTTTAGAAATTATTTTTCATAGGTTCGTAGAAAGTAACATGAAGAGGATCAAAGTTTAAATTTTGGCATTTTGGGTGTTAACGAGAGTGGGATTGGCCTTCCTTGTGTTCCATTCAGAAGTAATGAGTAATATTTAATTTAAAGAGGCATTGTGTTTTTTATGTTTTGTCTTTCTTCTTTGGTGTTGAGGAGCATTCCAATGGATCAGCGACAAATAAAGTAATTGAAAAAAATGTACAATTTGGCTCCTACTCTTTTTTTTTTTTTTTTATCGCATTTGCAGGGATTTTGATTTTGGAATTCGAAATGCAATGACCAGTAATTTCCATCCTCTGTGTTTTCGATAACAGTGAAGCATTCATATTCGCATCTGCAACCAAGCGTCTATGTCTATGCACTGTTCTTAGGAATCCAAAGACAATCCAAATCCAACGACTCAAATAAATTAATAATAAACTAAAATGCTGCATTCACTTTACTGTACACCCAATGTTTGATTGGTTGCTTAAAATTCAAAGGCCAATTTGAATCCCTGGAGTGACTTCCAACACTGCTTAATTAATGGACAAATTTAATCTTGCTTAGTTACACTTACAATTAAATTTTCAGCTTCATGTTTTGTGTAATAAAAATTTACATTAGAAGACAGTATAATTTCATAAAACTAAATTTAATTCTAATTAAATACTACTAACATAAAAAATATTTACTAATAAAACTCCATCTTACTATGTTCTATCTTATCGTCATTTTGATTTCAAACTGGTATTTGGGGTGTTTCATTTCCTACTACAACTAATAAACATATTTGGTTTGATGTAAATCATATACGCTTCCAACAATATATGACAATTTTCATTTAAAACTGAGATTGGGTATAATTCGTTTCTAAAGTGTTACTTGGGTTTAATATACATCACCAAGAGATGAAGATCTGTTACTGTTGCAACTAATCAAAATGGAGTTGTAAATCATAGACGCATGTTATACATAACTAGGAGAGTTTTAGCCACACTCCTATATTAATTAAAATTTATTAAAAATATAAAATTATGAACAAAACCTGTTAAATAAAAATTGATATTTATACTTTTTTTATAATTCTAATAAAATTCAGCTAATTAAAAAAAGTCATTTAAAAGAATATATTAAAAAAGTATATTACTGTCATTTCTGTATACATAAATTTAGAAAATTTACCTTGCAGTAGCTTTTTATTAAACCAACATCATCATATATTTAGAACCTTATTTTATAAAGGTTTTGTTTTGTTTTGTGTTTTTTTTCATTCTGTTTCAAACTGGCAGCTCGTGAGCTGGTAAAACATCATGGCAACTGGAAACAGCCATTTTTTTAAGGGTTGAAAGAATAAAAATAAAAAAAAAGGAAAAAAAGTGGTATGCAGTGGTAAACATTCCAAGGATGAATAAAGTGAAGGAAAAGTAGGAGCAAAAACAAAGAATTGGAGACAGATAGTCAACGGACGAGGTCACGCATTTCTTGTTTTCCAATTATTCTTTCAGTAATCGACACGCCTCTCTCTCTTGCCGACTTGCTCACTGTAATAATCAAAACCAGTTAATACTTTCTCATTTTTTATAAATTACATTTCCATCATTTTCATATTTATTTATTTCTTTAGCTGATTAGGTTATTTTACTTTCAAAATGCAATTTCCACTTTTTAAATTAAAGTGTTTCAAATCTTTTAATATTATTAATTCACTTCTAAGCGATCTTAATAAAAAAAAATTATTTTTTAATTCTTAATTTTTATTCTTAAAACTCTTGTTAACAATATGTAGAAGCTGGTTGAATAAACTTTTCTAAATCACTTTTAAGAGAGAACACAAGAAGAAAAAATAAATTAAACTGTTTAAAAAATTAAAAATAAGTTTTTAAAAAATTAATAAGAGAAAAGTTAATTTTAAAAAATAATTTTATTTTTCTTTCTGATTTTGCTCTCCTAAAAAAATGTTCTTAAAAAAATTTACCCAAACAAACCCAGATTTACTGACCATGTTTTTGAATCCCACATTAACAACGATATCTAAATTATTTTGAAACAGGATTTCCCCTTGATAAAATTCCGAGATAAAAAAAAATGTTGACAAGCTTGTTTTACACAATCAATTTCCACTCTATGAACTGTATATCATAATTGAAATTAAACAGTACAAGATTTTTAAACACTAACTCAATTTTATCTAAGTTATTTTAAACACTATATCAATGTCCACTCTATGAACTACCTTGAATTAAATAACTTTTTTAAGTGTTAAAAAAATCTTCTCTTCTCTACATTATTTTTATCTAGCCAAACATAAGATCAGTGCTTAAATGCTTCAAATTGTTTGTAAGGGTGGTCCAAGTAGTTTGGGGAGAAGGATTTAGGATTGAGTGATTAAGAGGGTGTGGGTTCGAATCTCCTCACTAACAACTAACAAACTAACCATTAACATTTGTCGTTCAAAAAAAAAAAACATGAATAATGTAGCACATTGTCAGACTGGCTCCTGTAACGATCAGACCATGTGTGGAGTTGGGAAAAGTGAAATCGATAAATCTCAACCACCCAAACCCCGTGGCGTGCAAAACGAAAACAAAAAATAGCAGATAATGGTAGACTTACATCAGGCATGAGCATGGTCATAAATATTCACAGTATAAAATATAAATAAATAAATATGCGCTACCTTGTGCTTTGTTAAAGACATAAATAAACATATCGTACCGTGCGTACATATACATCTCTTTTAATATTATTATACACTTCAAATACGATTTTCATGATGATTCCTGCGATTAACTAGAATGTACAAATACGACCCCAAGTGTTCTAGACTTGACCGCAATAACAAGCATTTATGTTCATGCAGAACATCTCTTAGCAGTTAGTTATTCATGGACATATATAATCAGGAATAGAAATTTCAAAGGGAAATAAGTAACTACCTTCGTGTTGTATCTATAGTATAGTATAAATCTATACAAGTTGCATTTTGAGGTTAAACAAATAATGAGTAGCACTGTGAAGGAACTTTCCAGATATGACAAACAAACTTGCATCAGTTGATATAATCACAAAGGTTTCGTCAAAAAATAATATGTAGAAATCATATGCAGTAATACTCAATAAGAGATATTCCTGTAAGATTAGAGTCTCAATTAGAAGGTGTCATTGTGACTTGTTATTGCCATCACGGTTGAGCACTATCATGCTGCCGAAACTGATCGAGACTTTTGTTGAGGTGGTACGCCAAGCCAACTCTTCATCATGTCATATGTGGTGAAACTAATTGCGGCTGAAGGAACAATCTGTGAACATAGCAAGTAGTGTTTAAAATAGAACCTTCATAGAACCAAAAAGAAAGCATAGATGCTACCAACAAAATGGATGGGAATGCTCAACGCAGCCATAACAATGTCAGGAATCAATGAGTACCAATCGCACAAAGCTCTAAAATCAATGCACATTATTTGTGTAGTTTATGAAGTTCGATAAAGAACCTTAGTCACTATCACCATTCACTCAACCATTATTTTCAGTCCCTAGGTTGTTATCAAATAGAAGAATTGGTGTTCAACAGGATTGGTCATATGTTTACTTACTGTCCAATGTTATACAGTGACATCATATTTCACATCCAATTCATTCAGCTCCATGAAAACCAACACTAGGAAAGATAGCGAAGTTTTGCACACTCCCAAACAACATAGCAGTGAGTCGTATAGAATTTGGATATTAAAATATCCCAAAATTTAGTAAAAAAGAGAAAAGAGAAGAAAAAAAATAGCATTTTTTTAACACATCATAGAAAGAAGCTTTTGACAGCAAGTTGATCTGCTTGTGATAGGCAATGCAAATAACAGAAGTTGAAACATGTGAAATAGTAGTATAAAACTCGGCTCATATAAAGTTCGCTATGATAAGGTGAACATTACCCTTATATAGTTAATGCTTACGCCATGAAACAGCTGCCTCCACCCTTGATTACGAGCAATCTTCCTAAGTCCATCAAATGTATTTTTGAATCTGTCTTCCTCATGAGCAGCATTTTGCAGGCTGGCAACCTGCATAAACAAAGAGAAGTGTAAAAAGCTTCGAGAAAGGGACTTTTGGTAATACTACATAGTTATAAAACTTGAATACGACCTAAAAGGTCTCTAGCATCAATTTTTATAACTAGCAAAATAGTGCAGAACTAATTTGGCTAGACACCCACCCTAAACCACCAATAAAGGGAAAATTTTATCCAACTGAGGAAGACATAAAAATTAAGCTTTAAGTACCTGCATCTGTCTCTTGACAACATCTAAAGGGTATGTTAAAGTCTGCCCGAACAATCCAGCTAGAGCTCCACAAGAAAGACGCATCAAAATGGACTTCTGATGTTCTTCAGGGACATGAGTCTTCAGTTTCTCATACATGTAGAACTTTAAACCAGCATAGGGAAGAATTCCGGTAAGTGTTGGTCCTAAGGAAAATAAAAGGGTAAGTTTTCAATCAATGTACTGAGAAAACAGGACAGGGCAATAAAATGCAAAAGATGATAACCGAGACATTTCATAAGAAAATATTATCTCTACAAACATGTATTCCCTCCGAATTCTCCAGTAACCAATTATGATTTCCATGCTTAAAGATTGTCTTGGTATACGTATATCCTGTGACATACATACCTGCACCCCTATAAAGTCCACGAACTCCCCCTTCCTTATAAACACTTGTAAGCACACCTTTAATGCCATTATTTGCAGTTTGATATTGAACTCCTTTCACACCATCTTTGATACTTCCTCTCGTGTCTGCCACCTATAATATTTTAAACAACATAAATAATAAATATTATTATATACAGTATGCTACAAGAAATTCTTTCCTCGGAAAATATCCCCCTATAACTAAAGCATCAAAAAAATAAACATGTATTACTTACATGGATAATAAGTCCAAGAAGAGCAATCAATTTTACAGGTTCACCTAATATATAAATGGCAAATGCTCTATTGCATAGCCACAACTAATAATGTTAGGATCTTAATTTGGTGATTGTTTCAAATTTACGGCAGATATCAAATTTGTCAATGGAATATTGTAAGGAAAAAGTTGTCAATTGAAATTCCAGGTGCTCCAAACTATTCAAAAAAGTATGACAGTTCCTCAAAGAGATTAAAAACTAAACAGAACTAATAATACATTCCCTCTATATATTTGCATGAATCAATGTTTCTTCAAGCTAATCTTATCAATTTTTATTCCATGCAGATTTGCTTTCAACATAAAACCATTGCATTTAATATTTTCCTATATTAATTGGGAGAGATTCACCCAAAAAAAATATAAAAAAATAACCAGGGAGTTATCAAACACCATTAGGGATGGCGTCTTTTAACAAATTCAAAATTAACAAAAAAGTATATTAATAACATTAAATAAAAGACAATAGTCATAGTCGTTTATATATGTACATACAAGTATATAAAATAAATAATAATTTTATCATTTTTAATATACAAGGACCTGGCAAGAAGGGGTATGATCCTTGTCTCCGTTCTCAAATATGCTTTGGGGGAATTTTTCTCCCAATCTGAAGGGGGAAATCTCCAAAATTGGGACCATGTGAATTGGGATCAAGATACCATGTTGTTTCATACTTCATAGTGCATCTTATATTCTTATTAGTCCATGCTGAAGCATTCTATGAATACCAGAAAAGTTTTCTTAGCTAGTCTCTCTTTTGAAATTGGTAGATGTACTTTAATATTATTATTCTTCATCTCTCTTTCACTATTCCGTTTTCCTGGTAGTAGAACCTTCCTTAAACTTTAATTTAATTTCAATTAAATGACAAAAAAATAATGGAATGGATAATAACATATTCTCAATACTTATAGCGTATGAGCATGTGTAGAGGTACCATCAACTCTATTTCAAAGCTTCAAAGATGTTCAAATGAGAATGAGATCCCTACCTGGTAAGCAAGTTTGGTTCGAGCAAGATCCAAGGGGTAGGTACACAAAACTGAAGTTCCTCCTGCAGCAGAGCCTGCTAAAAGATCAATAAAAGGACCCGTTCCCAGCACAGGATAATTGTTCAAGATCCAACTTTTGTAGCGCTCATATGTCATAAAATGCAAGGCAGCATATGGAACAATGCGGATAACACTAGCTCCATTTCCTCTGAAACCACCACATGTGCAAAGGTTAACAATACATAACTTTAAAAAAGGGGAAAGAAAAAATATATTATTTAATTTGAGTATTACTTGTATAATCCTTGGAAACCTTCATGCTTCAGTATCTTATTCAAAGATTGATACACCCCAATAGAGTGAAATCCAGCTGTCCTTGTCTGTAGATAACATAAATTAAAGTTAAAAGAGAACATACACCCATAGAAGAACATTCTGAATGAGCAAGGAAGATGGCCTTTCCTTATGTTCCAGGAAGATTCTTTAGATCATATATGTCAAATTTTGTTAAAATTGAACAACAACTTGAAGGTATTCAAAGTGTTCATATTTTAGTATATTTTGAAATGTATATATTACGTCAATTTTGTTTTATAAGAATGAAGTATCAAATAATCTTAAATTAATATAAAATTTGATATATATGATCTAAGAGATATGAACTTTCAATCTAACAGTTGAATTTTTAAAATTCACATTTAATATAAAGTTATTGAGCAGTGTAACATTTAGTAAAAATTACACCGATTTCGTTACAAAATCCTTTTATACAAATCTTCTTATTTATCGAAAAAAAAAACTATCAACAAAATTTAGTACAATTAATACGTAATTGAGTTTTTTTTTAATATGCTGACACGGGTATATTTCTTTATATAAGACAAAGACTATCGTTTCTACAGAAATGACAAAAAAAAAGGTTAATTTCACTTTTATTTTTTAATACTTTTAAAATTCAATTTTAGTCTCCTTAATTATTTGTTTTTGCATGATCTTTATCTCCTACTATTTTAATTTAACATTTAATATCTACTAAAATGCCACCAATGCATTATCATGTCAATATTTTTATGAACATTCCTACAACCTCGAAAGTCAAAATTTCATCCGAATTATTAAAAAAATTATTATTTTTTAATAAATTTACTATTAATATGGGACTAAATTGAAACCAATTAATTAGTTTTGGACCAAATTGAGACAAAAAATTAATGAGGGACTAAATTGAAACAAAAAAAGATTATAAGGGACCAAATTAGGTTTTTAGCCTATATTATTTAATATCAATGTAACTTTTATTAAATATTATATTACTCAATAATTTTATATTAAATGTAAATTTATATATATATATAAATAATATTATAATCATTTTTTTAATCTTATTTTAATTAAAATAAAATTTAATTAATTAAATAATATTACAAATACGTAAGTAAATTTTGTGAATCGTCCCTCTCCCTAGTTTTTGGTTATTCTTTAATTTGGTATTTGTCCACCGAAATGCAATCACATCATGGTGGTGGTGGGTTCGTACGAAAATTTGATGTTTGCTCAAACGAAAACGCTTGCAATTTTGGCTTCATAATTCAACCCCTTCCCCCACCTTAAAAATATTAACATATAAAATAAATGAATGCGAAAGAGATCAATATTAGTACCAAAATTATTAAATAAAAAGCATGCGCATTTTTTTAAACTGAGAATGAGACTTATTCAATAAAGAATGAAATTCAAAATATATTCAATAAATGTTAGATTTAAATATTATTTTGATCTTTCAAATTTAGGTAAGGTTTATTTTTTGTTCCTCAGATTTAAATATAATTTGTTTTTTATTCTTCTTAATTTGAAAAGTAATTCACTTTTTAAGTACTTAATGTGTGATTTCTTCTGATCCTTTATAAGGATCAAAACTGAGCTATTTTTTAAATTAAAGACATTAAAATATCACTTTTAAATTTGTAAACGATATTACTTTATAAGTGATATTTGTACTATCAATTTTGCAATGATTGTCATGGTGCCACTTTTCAATCTTTTACTAAATGTAATAATTAATATTAAAAAATAGTTATTTATTTTTTTATTCGATCTATCTCACTTTTCGAGGTGTTTTCAACGTAGCGAGGAGATTAATCATTATTATCGACGATGGATGTTCTAAAGACGAAAAAAAAAATTAAAGTGTTTGAATTCTATCTTTGACAAAAAAAAAAAATCTTTGATCAAATTTTATTTACTTCTTAGTTAAACTAAATTAATTGACAAAACTTTAAAATATTAATAAAAAAAATATAGGTTGGGCGAAGTAATCCGTTTTGTTACACCTATTACTAATCATTGATTGCTCTATAAACTAAAGAGGGAAACAAGAGAGAAAGAAAACAATGGAAAATGATAACGAGCAAGATTTATTTTCTTTCTACGGTGCAGTAGAACGCAAGAAAGAATAACACAAGAAAAATATAAGCAATAATTAAGAGAATTTAAGATTGTGTGAGAGAATGTATCACTGTGGGATTTCTAAATTATACATGTACTCTTATATTCTATTGTGTTTGAGGATCAAGTGTTAATAGAACGTTTAGATTTGTGTTGAGGAAAAATGAATCCAGGTCTCTCCCAAAGATACTTTCAGTGTAGCTTCCGCGTCCCTGTGTTATCTGATATGACTTCTTTAAAATAAGTGACTTTTCAAAGCTTAGCTAAACATGAACCAACTATGTACACTATTTTGATCAGTAGTAAAATAGATACTTCCGTGCTCTTAATTCTTTTTTTATTATAAATAGAAATAAAAAAATAATAATAAGGTGGGTAATTATTGAAAGTGTATGTAAAAGTTTATAATCAGTTAGTTTTTAAACATCCACTAATTTAATTATCTGTTTCAAAATCAAATTTGGTTTCAGTTACTAGCTGTACCTCCTATGTCTGTTCCATTCATTTATTCATTGTATGTATGTTTGTCTTTCATCACTTAGAAGCTTCCTTCAATCTACTCTTTCTTTATAAAGCAACTTATTGACTAATAAATGTATTTCTCTTTCAATTTTTTTAGAGGAAGGTTCAACGACACCGGTATAACTTTTACTAAGTATTACACTGTTCAATAACTTTATATTAAATGTGAATTTTGAAAATTCAACCGTTAGATTGAAAGTTCATATCTTTTAGATCATATATGTCAAATTTTGTTAAAATTGAACAACAACTTGAAGGTATTCAAAGTGTTCATATTTTAGTATATTTTGAAATGTATATATTACGTCAATTTTGTTTTATAAGAATGAAGTATCAAATAATCTTAAATTAATATAAAATTTGATATATATGATCTAAGAGATATGAACTTTCAATCTAACAGTTGAATTTTTAAAATTCACATTTAATATAAAGTTATTGAGCAGTGTAACATTTAGTAAAAATTACACCGATTTCGTTACAAAATCCTTTTATACAAATCTTCTTATTTATCGAAAAAAAAAACTATCAACAAAATTTAGTACAATTAATACGTAATTGAGTTTTTTTTTAATATGCTGACACGGGTATATTTCTTTATATAAGACAAAGACTATCGTTTCTACAGAAATGACAAAAAAAAAGGTTAATTTCACTTTTATTTTTTAATACTTTTAAAATTCAATTTTAGTCTCCTTAATTATTTGTTTTTGCATGATCTTTATCTCCTACTATTTTAATTTAACATTTAATATCTACTAAAATGCCACCAATGCATTATCATGTCAATATTTTTATGAACATTCCTACAACCTCGAAAGTCAAAATTTCATCCGAATTATTAAAAAAATTATTATTTTTTAATAAATTTACTATAAAATAATTATTTTATAATAAATTTATTAAAAAATAATAATTTTTTAATGATTCGGACGATATTTCAGATTTCGCTTTCGGAGGATTAAGCATTTTCCTATTTTTATTAATACTATTAGACATCAAATCAATAAAACGACTAAAGTTCTACGGTTAAAATAATAGAAAGACTAAATTTGGAGGAGGATTAAAATCAAAAGTTAATAATAATATATTAAAAGAGTAATTAAGCTAGAATAATATTTATAATAGTTTATTTTCGGGAGTTAATATTTGAAGACTCACAGATTACAAACATTCCATAAACACGTCTTTTTCAAGAAGTAAATATTATTTTTCTTTTTTAGAAATTATTTTTCATAGGTTCGTAGAAAGTAACATGAAGAGGATCAAAGTTTAAATTTTGGCATTTTGGGTGTTAACGAGAGTGGGATTGGCCTTCCTTGTGTTCCATTCAGAAGTAATGAGTAATATTTAATTTAAAGAGGCATTGTGTTTTTTATGTTTTGTCTTTCTTCTTTGGTGTTGAGGAGCATTCCAATGGATCAGCGACAAATAAAGTAATTGAAAAAAATGTACAATTTGGCTCCTACTTTTTTTTTTTTTTTTTTATCGCATTTGCAGGGATTTTGATTTTGGAATTCGAAATGCAATGACCAGTAATTTCCATCCTCTGTGTTTTCGATAACGTCCTTTAAAATCCTAATCCAATACACCCCCCTAAAAATAAAATATAGGAGAATAAATAATAAAATTGGTAATTATTGAATGATCGTTGAGAAATTATTAATAATCTGAAAAAGGACATTTAAAAAACTTGATTTTTTTTAAATTTTTAAACAACTAAAAGATATAATAGTTCAACTAAGTGTAGACAGAAATAATTATAAAAAAAAATATTTCTTTTATATATTGGTATAAATTATACATGCATCTTATTTGGCTGTTAACTACACAAATTACATTTTGCGGAAGAATCGCACAGAATAGAACATCAATAATGCAGTTTTTTTAAGCATATATACTACTGAAATGGTAGACATAAAATTTGGCATCCATTAATTTAAAAAATGTGTGTTTGTGTAAAATGTGTTTTGGTGGATCTAAATTACTGTCATACATAGACAGTTTTACGTTAGTGTCTCCATATAATTTTGACACTCAAGCCTTATTGGCATCAGTACCCTAGGTCCCTAGCTTTATAGTAGAAGAGGTTTGGATAATTTCACTAAATTAATTGAATTTAAAACATAATGTCGTTGTCATAAAAAAAGGAAATTATCTTAGAATCAGCACAAAAAAATGGGGAGGGGAGGAACTTTTGGTCACTTCATATCACTTTCTTAATGTGTTTGGTTAACACTGATGTTAACAAGGTGAGAGGTATAAGTGTCTTTATATTCATCTTTCGACTTTGTCTTTTGTATTTTGTATCTAGTTTTGTCCTTATATTTACATCCTCATTTATGAATTCCTCGGATATTAGTTATATTTGTATTTATTTAAAAATTAATTAAATATTATTTTTTAAAAATAAGAACTTTAATATAAAATAATTACTATAAACTATATTAATTAAAATTTATTTAATATAAATTAAAAATAAAAT